CAATGCCCAAGCATATGCGAAAGACCCCTTACCCTGATTAAATCATGAACCCAAGTTGAACACAAGATTCGAGGTTCTGAAACACTCAAATACTAAATTGCAATGAGGTTACCTGTAACTTTGCCTCTTTCTCATATTTGTGCATTTCTTTTTTAGATATCCTTCCCAAAAGATGAAGCAGTCTACCTGAGAGTGTTGATTTTCCAGAATCAACATGGCCAACCTACAATAACAAGTGAAATAAAAATTGGCTTCATTTCCTATGAAGTAGTAGTAGTAATAATAGTAGGAGGAATAGGATTATAAGACCATAATCAAGTGGCTTACTATTGCAAGATTTAGTTGAGTCAGTGTATCTACAGCTTGGTCAGGGAGCATCCACTTTTCAGGTTTGTAGTCCGCTTGTGAATGAGATCCTCTAACATTAACATTATTAGAAGATCCAGGTCTAGCATCCAAATCCAAATTTTTCAAGCCACTGGTAACACTCTGCTGCTTGCCCCTAATCACAGAAGAATTTGTGCTCTCATCCACAGTGTCATGTCTGCTTCTTGGCTGCGATGCCGACGAACTTTCAGACAATCTACCATTTGCTTGTAAAGTAATTATGTCACTACTTCCATCGTGATAGCTGACTGTCCGATTCTCCAACTGGTTTCCCTCATCAAATCTATCTTGTTTACTTCTTTGCCCTATTGCAGAGGAGCTATCTGACCATTCAGCACTTGATTGTACACTAACTGCACCACTCTTCTTAGCAACCTTCGAGGAAACTTTTGAAGATTTCAAGTCACTAACACTGGCTGCAAGTAAAACATAGTAGAAGACTGTATCAAACATCTAATCTCAGAAAAGCTAAACAAATGCATTTTAGAAAAATGACCAATAAAGCATGTAGTCTTCTGAAAAATAGATGATTAAAAGAACCTCTTAGTGCACTAGGCAAATATTATATGCAATCGGTTATGGTAGCAGGTTTCTTCTCAGTCCAGAACCAACCAAACAGTTTCTCAATTACGGGCCTGAAACAACCCATTGTTGAAGACCCCCAAACAAGCTCAAGCCATGGAAAGTTCTGTCCAGGTTTGGCAAGAACTTCTAGATCTTTTATATCATAAGTTAGCTTATATTATAAGCACAATAAAACTTTTAAATTTCAATATAGCATTCCTCTAGCTCTCTCCACAGCTTACTATATTAATATGGGAACTTTTCTCTATAGACTGGAAGTTGTGATTAATGCAATTCACATCACGATGGAACTTTGATAAAATAAGAAAAGTATACCTTTTGAACCCGTTCTAGAGGACCACAATCCATTAGAAACCAAATCATCTGGGGATGGCACATCAAACTTGAAAGGAGCTGTATCATCAATGCAATTAAACTTAGAAGTCGCAAGATATATGTCACAGCTATATCGAATGATATTTTTTAAGAAGCAAGATGGTAGAATGCTTGGATTAAAAAGCATCTCTCAACTGTGAAAATGATGATCTAATTCTACTCCACGTCATCTTTTGGAAAAGGGTGCAGACCTATATTAATATGGTGATTGTTATGAATGTTAAAAGCATTATAGAATTCATGAATAGGTCCTTGGAAATCCCCAAGCTTGTGGAAATTATTGCCCTCTTCTATCACAAAATCATCTTTCTGCTGATGAAATAGTACAGCCTGTTTGGGTATCTGGTGCGGCAATGATGCAAAAAGAGACTTGGCCATTATGGATGCTCCAGAATCTTTGCATCTGCCTTCAACTGCATGAAAGATATCTACTCTAAAAAAGGGCAATGAACTTGATTTTTATTTTATAGGATGCAATGAACTTGAAATGAAACCTGAGTAACAAGGACACTAACATAGAAATATTTGCCTGAAACAGATGAGATCCACCCAAAGGGTGATCTCAAATGAAAGTTAGATTTAATATAGTATCCTTCGCAAACCAAAAGATACATACAAATTCTTCTTATATTGCAAAAAGGAAACAAGGGCTAAGCAAAAGGAGTGTCCTTGTCACACAGAACTCCAATCAAAAAATAAAAATCATAGAGTAGTAAATTATATTGTGAAGCCTATGATACACTTATTACCTGTTTTCTTATCACTATTGCTTTTCACCACAGGGTTTCGAAGAACCCCACAAATGTCGCATGCAGACATGCTCCCCTCATTGTCGTACGTGCAAATGGAACAACGCCAGACCTCAGGCCTTTCAGTTTCCCGCTTCGACTCAAGTGCTTTGCCTGTTAAAGCAATTACATGTTGAGCAGTTGGTATAACATAACATGTATAATATCAGCACAACAGCTGCATATCTGAAGGGTAATTATTAGTAAACAAACTATGTGAACAGATAAATAAGGATTTATTGACAGAGACTTCGCAGTTTACAAACTTAGCTAGCATTTTTCTGATTGCAAGGTAGCACGGCATCATATGAGATTTTCAAAAAATAAAAAATTGGACAAGCCAACATCTTCTAGATTGCACAAACATCTTTCAATCTAAAAGTGAATTGAACCTTTGTGCTTTTTGAAGATTGAACCAACACAACAGATCACTGAAGCCAATATACACTTGTATCAAAAAGGGAAATAAGCAAGGGAAAAATTACTCCAAAACCCGTAAAATAACATGCAGAGTGAAACTGATCTGATTACCCACTCTTCTACTCAATGAAACATAAAACTTAAATACACTATCAAAAGGCCACTGTCAACCAATGGCAATAGCCTCAAGAAGATGCGACTAAGGGCACAACCAAACAAGATAAAGCCCGGGTGAAACAATCAAATAAATTCAAGTTAAAAAAGTCACTAACCATTATTTTTTATGGCGGAATCATCATCATCATCATAATCATAATCGTCATAGACATCGTAGTCATCATCATAATCAACTCCATAGTTTACTTTATGAGGCATGGTCCTACGGAAAGAAATGGCTCAATTAAAGACAAAAGAACTCACATACAGAAAGCCAACTTTAATCCAACAATAAAATGTGTATACGTAACTGAATGAACCAAAGAGGGACATACCCAGAAGATGCATACAACGAGCAACCCTTATGAGGGTTGATTTAACAAATGTGAACTTAATCTAATTCACAACAATGATTTTTCAATGCTGAAAACTATTGTACGAGTTTGATTTTGAGCTCTGGAATATATTGCTCTGTCTTTCTCCCACATGAATGAAGCTGCACCCAAACATACATGTCCACAAAAAATCAGTTCTTATTACAAAATTGAAATGCTCTGTTTTCTTAAAACAATAAGAATCTGAAACATCAAAAACTGAAGCAATTTAGAGAAAATAAAAGCACATTCGAATCGACAGTTTTCTCAGCAACCAAGCCACGTTTGGAACAACTTGTTAATTACACATTCACGCCGAATGAGATTTTGAGGGGAAAATTCAGTTGAATTTGCACCAGTCTCCACCCAAGTAATATCCAATAAAAGAAATTCGAATAAATAAACAAGCAGAGCCTGCCGCATATTGAAATTCGATGCATTCCAACGCTTCACCGAAAGAATTAGGGTTTACCTGGTGCAGAAGAAGTAGTGACGAGCAACGGAGAAGACGATTCTTTTTCTTTCTCTTCTTCTTCGTTTTCTCTGGCTCAATACTGGACTGGATGTCAAGGAGGAAATTGAAGGAAGAGGTTACCTGAAAACACTCTCTTCCTAATATAAAACGTTGAAAAGAGAGAGAAAAATAAAAACCTTTCCTGGTATGCGAAAACGAAAAAGGTCTTTTTTTATTTATTATTATTATTATTGTAATCGATATCAGTCAGGAATGGTTCATTGCATTCATTCATTCTATTATGTTTGCTTTTAAAAACAATATTTTTTGGTCAGTCTTCCACTAGCCAAATCATAATTTAACGTAAAATAAATTTTATATATTTTAATCTTTTAATAGTAGAGCCGAACGGCTATACTATTTGAATATATGCGAATATTTAAAATTAAGAATATAGCCGCGCGGCTATAATATTTTAACGTATTTGAATTTTTACAGTATAGCCGCTCGGCTGAAAATATATTTAAAGAGTACAGCCGTCCACTTATACTCGTTTACTTTATTTGAATATTTTAAGGGTATAGCCGCCCGGCGATACTCTGTTCGCCGATGCCTCATGCTCACCATCTGAACCAGGAGTTGTTTTTGTTGCATCCACTAACAGGCGCGAAGCAATTGTTCCGAAACTAGATTTGCTTTATGGAGTTAAAATTGAAGTTACTGTACCTACTGAAGAAGAACGCTTTCAATTTCTCAAGCTCAAAACGAGACAGCTTCCTTTGATTTCAACGTTGACCTACAAGCCTTAGCTGCATCTTGCAATGGATTTGTTGGGCCTGACCTTGAAGCTTTAGTTCGTGAGGCTGCTGCGCGTGCAAATAAAAGGAACTCATATGCAAATAAAGATGCTGGTGTGTTAAGCTTAGCAACAGAAGACTTGGAGCATGCAATGTCTGAGGTTAAAGCAATTATAACAAGAAGTGTTCCGGTGGAAATCCCAAAGTGACTTGGGAAGATATAGGAGGATTAATAAAGATGTGAAGGTAAAACTTGTATTCCGAAGGTTAATTGGGAAAATGTGAACGGAATCTGTAATATGGCCTAAAAAACACCAGGATGCATTCAAGCGGTTAGGTATTAGGCCCCCAACAAGGATTCTGATGTTTGGTCCTCCTGGATGCGGCAAAACCCTCATGGCTCGTGCTGTAGCTTCTGAAGCACGGCTGACTTTCCTTGCTGTGGAGGGTCCAGAACTTTTGAGCAAATGGGTTGGTGAATCTGAGAAGGCTGTGGAATCCCTGTTTGCAAAGGCAACGACTAATGCCCCAGCAATCATATTCTTGGATGAAATTGACAGTCTTTCTGCTATTCGTCAGGGTTTGGCTTCAGATAGGGTTACAAGTCAGCTGTTTTTTGAATTGGAAGATTAGCATGCAAGAGATGATGTCATTGTTATTGCTGCTACAAGAAGGCCGGACAAACACTCTCAACACAAGGTACCACTGACTGATCCCTGCTGCCATGCATGATGCATTTGCTCGCTTGGTTGCTTTGGACTTCATTTGTACTTAAGAAAAAGAAAAAGTAATAAACTTCATTTGGAAGTGCTTCTTCTAAGTTTATCTGATTTTTTGCAGCAGGTTTTCAAGCCTTGGAAAGTTGAGACATTTGAAGAAGATGGGATTTTGGTTTTGGAGTTTGGAGAGGCACTTCCCATTGGACCAGGAGTTTTGGGTATTGGGTTTGAAGGAATTTTGAATTACAAGATGAAGGGATTCTATAGAAGGTGTGTTCTTTGAATTCTGGGTTTGTTAAATTGTTACAGTCAATAATATTATTACATTTCAATGGTATAGATATGTTTAAACTTTGATTCATTCTGTGCTGTACATATGAGCATAAGGGTGAGAAGAAAAATATGGCCGTTACACAGTTTGAACCGGTTGATGCCAGGCGGTGCTTTCCATGCTGGGATGAACCTGCTTGGAAGGTAGTGATTTTGTTTAAAGCGATTCTGGAGACTTAACATAGTTGTAATTTCATCTTTGAGTCTACTAGGAAAGAAAGAGATTTAATTGACCCCGTTCATTATTATCGGAACTTTGATTGACAGGCTACATTCAAGATTAGATTGGATGATGTTCCATCTGAATTAGTAGCTCTCTCCAACATGCCGGTTGTAGAAGAAAAAGTGCATGGACATCTGAAGACAGTTTCATTTCAAGCATCACCAATCAGGTCTACATATTTGGTGGCCGTTGTTGTTGGGTTGTTTGATTATGTTGAAGATACATCTGATGGTAAACTCATACACAATGTCCCTTGTTTTGTGTGTATGTTAGTACAACCTTTTCTTGGTGGTGTCACTTTTCATCTTGTCATAGGGGTCAAAGTGCAGGTCTATTCTCAAGTTGGTAAGGCGAACCCAGGGAAGTTTGCTTTGAACGTTGCTGTCAAGACTTGAATTTTACAGAGAGTATGTTTTTGGATCACAATACTACAAAAATTACAAATCATTCATATTCAAATTTGAAGTTACACTTGATGCATGTTGTGGATTATAAGTAGTAGTTTCTCTAGTTTTTTTTTCCCTTCCCTGCTAATTCTGCATCATTATATTTAACATTCAAAATTGAATCATTGACGAAATGTTTGACAGTTACTTTGCTGTGCCATACTCTTTGCCCAAATTGGATATGGTTGCAATCCCTGATTTTCCTGGCGCCATGGAGAATTATGGTTTAGATACATACCAAGAAACAGCTTTGCTCTTTGATGAACAGAATTCTGCAGCTGCAAACAAGCAATGGGTAATATACACATCCTAAATGTCACTCTAGCTTTCAGAATTTAGCTTGGTTCATATGATATGTAGCTGTTGTTTGTGAACCCTAAAGAAATGTTTCATAGTTTCATTTGGAATTTGAGAAAGGTTGCAACTGCCATGGCACGTGAATTGGCACACCAGTGGTTTGGCAATCTTGAAACGATGGAATGGTGGACACATTTATGGCTGAACGAGGGATTTGCAACATGGGTATCACTTCATTTCACTTGTTGTAATTGTTATTGTATATGCTTTTGGACTTAAAGTGAGTATTTTAACGCCATTAGGTGAGCTATTTAGCTACTGATAGCATGTTCCCAGAGTGGAAAATGTGGACTAAGTTTCTTGATGAAATTACTGGGGGTCTTAAGCTCGATGGGCTTGAAGGATCTCACCCCATTGAGGTATTACTACTTGGACTAAGTCTTTCCATGGTTTTATTTTAATTCTGTTGTCCAAAATTTTGCTCTTTGGCGGCATCAAACCTAGATCACCTGCATGACAGGCTTTAAATAGTAATGTTCACCACTGTACTTTGCAGGGCATAATTTATTGAAGAGTATTAGTATATATGTGTTTCGGGTATATTATGTTTTAATCTTTCTTCGTTTTGGCCAGGTGGAGATCAATCATGCTACTGAGGTTGATGAGGGAGGTTCTGTTATCCGGATGCTACAGAACTATATTGATGCTGAATGCTTCCAGGTTGGTACTTTGGTTTGTTAGCAAGTATCTTTGAAGATTGAAGCAACTATCTTATTTCTGAAATTTTTACATTTATGTCATGGAAATTTCCAAAAAATCAAGGCTTCTGGGCATGCAGGATTTTTAGAGGATAGAGATCTTGAGGAGGTTGTTGGATTGTGATGTGAAATACTGAGCTAGCTCAATATCTAGTTCCTTGGCACAATCATGCGGAGCTTAATTAAAGTCTTTTTTTGTTGTCAGAAGAGCTTAATCATAGTCTTTTAGCATAAATTTGATGCTGGGCTGATCTTGTCCCTTAAATCTATCCACAATGGCTGTGGTCTTATTTGTGTATGCCATAAGTTATGCAGTTAATGAAATAGGATAATACTCTTCAAATTTGTACGAATAAACCGTATAGCCGCGCGGCTATACCCGGTTAATTTATTTTAAGAAGTCTAACCGCACAGCTATACTGTTTAAATGTATACGGATATTTTAATAGTATAGCCGCGCGGCTATAATCTTTTAATAGCTAGACGCCTATACGTTTTAACTGTATTCGAATATTTTAAACGTATAGCCGCGCGGCTATACTTAATATTTATTTCTTTTTCCGTATAATATTCTAGTATTTATTCATTGGTACTTGGACAACTTATAAAAAGATATATTCTGTTCATATGACGATTCTTCTGGCCACGATTTAAGAATATTATGAGCAGTGCACGTGTGCCGACTGTAATCTTGAAGGTTCTTTTTCTAATTTTACAGAACAAAGAGAGTTTCAAAGTTAGATTAGCTTAATTATATTAGCTCTGTTTTTGTTTTTTAATTTAGCAATATCTGAGCTATTGTTTTATATATTTGAGTGAATTTGAAGAAGAAGAAAAAAAATCAATTTAGTTAGATAAATTTTCACTATTCGATCAATTATCTAACTTCCCTCATAAAATTAACTTTAAACCGTTCATAAAATCTGAATCAAAAGGAGAATTTCGTGATTTGCCCCAAAAACTGCAATTGGTTTGCAGATATCTATACCAAATAATGTTTCCATACAGATGCAGCAGTGCACGTTTTTCATATACAACATTTGCAAGGCAATTTACAACTTGACACAACAGGCTGTCGTCCAATAAAACGGTGTAAGATTCGTGTCGTATAATATACTCGTTATGTAGTAAAACTTTGTCACGTTTTGCAGCTAACTCGAAAAAACTTTGGTCTACCTATCAGCTAACACAGACTCACTCCATGAAAGCATCAGATCTCGCACAACGGTTGGAAAATCTGCACGTCCCGACACAAAAAAGAAAGCCGAATGTGGTCAACAAATGTAATACAAATAATTTTGATCGTAACCTAACATTTGAGTTTAAAAGGGTTAAATGAAGTTTTTACCTCGCGCTACTTCCACAGCAACTGACGGTACATCTATCTGATCCTCAACCAGTCTATACACATCCACAAGCTATAGAGAATGGCATATCGACAAGCAGCTTGTCAAAATTTAGTCCTAAAGATTATGTTTTTCATTTTCTTTCTTCTTTGTTTCTTCAGAAAATAAGAAAAAAGAGAGGTTCTCATACCTCTTGAATGTGAAGCTTTGAATCTTCTGTCAAAGCAAGAATGAGCTTTCTACGAATTCCTTCGTCGAAAATGAAAAGGCGAGCTCCATCTTTGATGGTGTCAGTGAGGTCCAGTTTCCTACTGACTTGCAAGTCTCTTGACCCTTGCCTGCACAACATAGCCAAGAAAATATAACCATCTTAAACTCCGAAGAAGAAGAACAAACAAATTGGCAAGCAGGGCATGATCAGATACAGACGTGTCTTTTGCTTGGAATGCAGGGTTGCTGCTCAATTTGGTCACGTTTTCTTTGGCAAGAACTATGAGGTTTTCTAGCCGCTTCCATTGGAAAACGCCATCTTTAAATAGTACCTAAAACCAGAAGCAGATTATTATCAAAGGATTGCAATTTCAGAACCAAATCTATATGGTTGATGATTCTTGGACATGGCTAATTGAAATAACAATATAGTAATAAGAAGAAGAAGAAATGCATAAGCTTGACCAAAGAAATCATACTTCGAAACCAGGGGAAAATTGAGGAGTTGTGGTTTGAACAAGTTAGGGAAAATAAATAGAAACTGATAAGGCCAGAGAAAAAGGAAGAAGGCAAAAAGGAGAAATTCAAAGTTTAATTCATCTCGTACCCATTACTGAACAAGTCAGGGAAAATAAAGAGAAACTAATAAGGCCAGAGAAAAAGGAAGAAGCCAAAAAGGAGAAATTCAAAGTTTAATTCATCCCGTACCCATTACAGACTATTCCCTTGTCCTGATACAATATAGGAAAGGAAAAGATGCCCAATGATTTGGTGCTGACTGTCTAACGGCACTCCTAGGTTCATGGAGGAATCCTATACATTTATTGTAGCATCATCTAAAGGAAAAACAAGGTTGGGCTTGAAGGAAAGAAGGCTCTGACGATATTGTTTATAGATAATTGGTTTTGATGTTTACTGAGTGTCAACAAAAGCTTTTTCATAGCTAATCAGAAAAATCCTCAAAATAAAACATAGTTGTTCCCATGGATAACACTGCTCATTTAGTTCAGAGCAAGTCCTCTTCTTTTCTTTTTTGAACAGCAGAGCAAGTTAATGAGAATGAAAGGTTCTTGAACATATGTAGGTTTGATTCAAAATTCAACTAACAGCCATCTAAGGACATTAAATACAAAATAGCTTTGAACTCACCTGTATGAGGCGTTCACGTAGAGCTGGGTTTGGATCCGTTAGGAGGCGCTTTGCCACATATGGATAGGCAACCTATTTGATTGAATAATGTTAAGAACAGTATGGGAAAGAAAGCTTGTCATACAACAAATGGCTATCACCACAATAACAAAATTTGTATACGAGAAATGAGGTTTCTAATTGCAAAACATGACAGGCACTCCATTGCAGCATTTAGTATACATAACTAAAAGTAATTTAAAAGAAAGTTAACATTGGGTTAAATGGTCTATTAGAGAAAATTTCTACATGCCTAATTTCACCCATTAGAAAAGGCGTATGAGAAAAATAAAAAGATCTACCCTTACCTCAAGAAATTTGAAGTCTGGCTGCAAAGTAAAACAGATGCCCTCTTGAGTCAATAAAGAACGGATAACAAGCGAAAACCTTTCTGGGATACGGATGGGATAGTTGTAGACTAATTGGTTAAACTTCCCTGCATCAAAGCCAGAAGAAATCATATTGCATATTACAAACTACATAAGAAAAGATAAAAACAAAAGGAGCTAACAGAAGACAATTATCTCTTTCTCTCACAGCATCAGAAAACCTTGCAGGCAACTAAATCATACCTAAATAGGGTATACTTAAGACGAAGGATGATATACATATCATATCTACACACGCTCACACAAGCCCAGACTTACACAGAAAAAAGAAAAACTGGAATAAGAATCAAAATGATAGGACATGAAATTACCGGTAACGCTTCGAAAATTAAAGTCAGACAGTCCTTTTCCAACAGAGTTCTGCCATATCGATTCTAAAGCTGGAACAATTGGAGACACATCAGTCCCAGGAGCCAAGAAGCCAAGTCGAGTGAAATCATTTGCCATCTCAACATAGTCCTCGTTTACAGCATGGACAACAGCATCGATCAAAATTTGTTTATTTTGCTGAAAAATAAATGACAGATCAATATGTAGGCAACGCAAATTAAGAAAAACTAAAGCATAATAGAAAACTAACAGATACAAATGCATTCTTATTTTTCATATAGACCATTGAAATGTACTAGTTTTGGTGGCTGGGCTGTCCTACTGGTATGGATGGTTACTACGTACTATGTTAAACCCTCACAACTGTAAGAAGACTACATTAAAGATATCGAGTTTTCCTATTAAATACCATTGAAGTCCATATTTCACCTGACTAAGAACAGCTACGTTCCCGAAGTCCACGTATGCAATACGTCCATCTTGCATGGCAAAAATATTTCCAGGATGTGGATCTCCATGGAACAACCCAAATTCTAGCAATTGCCGCAATGCAGCACTGACTCCAACCGTTAAGAACCCATTTACGTCAATACCAGCATCTTTAACAGCCTGAAATACATGGAGGGATATTATTGATAAAGATATATCTTCTCATGTTTCTTTAAAATAGCACTGTTTTATCTTGACAATCATACCTGTGGGTTAGTGCACCGAATACCATCAATCCACTCCATCACTAGAACACGTGGACCACAAAGTTGCTTGTAAACCAGAGGAATTTTAACTGTAGGATCACCTTTGAAGTTCACAATAAAATCTTCAATGTTGCGGGCTTCCTGTATTACAGGAAACAGAGTTTCACTAGTAATTAGAAAGGTCAAAATAAAAATGCAATCATAGTGGTTGTTCAAACTGCAATTCAAGTCATGATGATAATAAGGCTGTAGGAATAAATATAATGCCATCAAGGTTCATTTTTTGTGCTATAGCGCAGGTCTGAAATGTACCAAAGTGTAATCAAGCTCCTCCAAAAGCTTCTCACCAAATTCATCAACAATCAGCTCAGCATTGCACCCCAGTTTCTGTAGACTGATGCCATTCAAGAATGAAGCAAGAGTACGGAATAGAAAGAGATCCCGGTAAATTATAGGTTCTATCTCCGGCCTTTGGACCTGTAAGTATTAAAAAAAAAATAATAATAATTTAGATTGTTTTCAGGATTTTTGCCACAGTAACCTTTTCATCATTTTTGCAACATAACAATTGTGGAGCTGTTAATGACCTAAGAAAAGGCCCTTATGTAAACCTTAATAGCAACTTCCTCTCCAGAATCATGTAACGTAGCTCGGTAAACTTGACCTAAACTGGCAGCTGCTATCGTCCGAGACGAAATTTTACTGAAAACAGCTTCTAGGGGTCGACCCAATTCCTCTTCTATTATATTGAAGGCAACCTGAACCAATGTCATGCCAAATTCTATTTTAAGTTATCTAAACTCCACAGAACAAAATTGTCTCATCCCAGATACAAGCAACAAGATTTTTTTTTTGTTGGTAAAATGAGTTTTTACCTGATTGGGGAAGGAAGGAACGTCATCTTGAAGAATGCACAGTTCATTCATATAATCTTCTCTGATAATATCAGGTCTGTTTGCAAGAACCTTTCAATACATGGGTGAAATCAGGCATATGTATATTTGAGCAAATATATGAACCTAAAATTCAATGGCTGAGTACAACTAGATTTCAAATCTGCATGTGGAGAGAAATTTTCCACTTTGATACTTCATACTACAACTGAAGTAACATGGTGACAATTTCATTCTAATTTTTCTTATATCGATCTGAATTTCAGAAAGCTATGTGAATAGACCATAAAAAGCATTGAAGTTATTTAAGAAAAATCTTACAATTAAAAAATAAAACA